AAAACCCTAAACCAGCTCTTCTGAAAAGGAGGGGTAAGCCAAACTCCTGCCCTCCCATATGCTGTGCAGGATGTGCTGTCAGCTGGAGAATATACTGCCTCCTGGCCTGTGAAAGTCATTTGGCATCCCAGGGACTTGAGGCACTCTGGGAGGATGGCAGTGGTTCTTGATGCTTCACTTCTGTTTTGTGCTCCTGGCTACTGCAGTTCAGCAGCATTAGGGTGACTTAGTACTGAGCTGGGGAATCCTCTGAATCCTTCCCCCTCAGGGAAATCCACAGGGTATTGTCTTGGAAAGACATACCATAGAGTTTTCCCCACCTAGGTGAACAGAAAGGACTTCCCTGTGGAGTCTTGCACAAAACCATGATCCATCCCATTCCTTTCCCCATATATTTCAAATTCTCATAATTTCTCCTTTCCCTTTCCTCATTGGTTGTGGTATCCCTGGTAGCCAGCCCCATTTCCCTGTAGGCTAATACCTTTTGCCCTGCCCCTTGTGCCCCACCTGTGCCCTCAGACCACTGGCCACTGACCCCATACTTAACCTTGTGCACACCACATGGCTTGGTCTTCCCTCCCTGGTTTCCCTTCGGGGTGGTGGATGCAATAAGCCTCGCTGGAACTGGCCGTACAAAAGGCCCTTCTGCCGCTCTTTGCTGAGCTAGCCACACTGAGTGGGCTGTGTGGACCTGAGTGCTTTGCCTGAACGCTTCCCCAGGCGGCTTTTCCACAGGAGATGCTTGCTGGGGAATGGCTAGAGATAGCACCAACCACCACTGAAACCTGCATGGCTACACTGAGCCTGTCCCCATTGTTCAGGGGCTAAATACAAAAACCCTTTGAGTGTTAAAAATGCTGATACCATAGTTCAAATTCATAAAACCTGAATTATTTTGCAGAGTAGAGTGAGACTTGCTGGTAATTCCTAAGGATTTCTAGTCTCGGCATTCTAGGCAACTGGGGCTTTTTTATCTGTTTTGAGAAATAGTTTGTATGAGAACTGTTCTTGTGGAGAAGGCACAGTAAAAAGCAGTTGTCAGTACTACAATTCATTTGAGGGGGTGTAAAAATGATTTTATAATCTCTGTTTCAGTGGGTTCATTTCCTCATTTGCTGTCACTTTCAGACAGGCCTCCTCTCTCTTTTAGCTGGTACAAACCTAGGGACTTGATTGGATATTGGCATAAATACACAGAGAACTGTTTCTCCCAAAATGTGGGAGTGACTCATTTTTTTCATATTAAATTTCCTATAAAACTACCCCACCTATTTGTGCTCATTGGAAACAAACATCTTGGCAGTTTTTTCGATTATTTCACAGGACTGGAGTTTACACGTGTGGTTCATTAGGTGTGTAATGTTACTTATCCCTTCATGTATGTACTGAGCAGTAGTGCACCTCAGAAGCAGCATAAGCTTTCCTCTAAGATTTTTGTTCCACTGCTGCATCCTTATTCATCAAGAGGGACATACAGAGACCTCATTGGAGGATAAGAAGTTTTTACTGTTTTCAAAACTGCTTTTTGTCTACGTGCCAAAGAGTCAACTTGGTTAATTGGGCATGAGGCTGGGCAGTATGGGGCCCTTGTCTTCTGGGTGCAGCAGCTGCAAGATGTAAATGCTGAGAAAGGGCAGTAGAAATTGTGGTGAGCTGTAGGGTATGAGTTACTGTTTTGAGGAGAGAGACCAGACAGCTGGATTTCCAAGAGCAGGGTTGTTGCCATAGTTTCTGTTCTAACAAAAACAAAAATATGTAATGAAAGCTCTAAGTATAGGAATAAGCTTTACTCGACATCCTAGACTCCTAGAGGAATGTAAGCAGACTTGGAAAACTCAACATGCAAGTACTACTGAGGCAGGATGTGTCCTTGGGGACCACAGACATTGACCCAAATGCTCAGTACCACTTCCTAGCTATACGCCGTGCCTCTTGTGTAGCCATCACTGCCAAGGCTGACATTTAAAGCTTGGTGCTCTCCAGTCTCTCTGTGGTCTTATCACCACATATTACAGCCCTCCCACCAGTCAGAGGGTCTGTAACCATTGATACTGCTCTAGTTTTCTTGCAAAGCCACAATACATTTTTAAGCAAATGTGCAAGATCATTTACAAATTAATATTGGAGTTTAAATAAATACTAGCAGTTATGTCAAAAATAAGTTTTTTTCCTAAAAAAAAGTCCTGGATCTATCTTATGTTACTGCAGACCCTTTGTGACCTACTATTCAAGAGGTTTCAGCATGTGATTTTTTTGATGGGCTTAAGCAGATGTAAATAGAGTCTGCTACCAGGAGATGAAATCATGTCTTATTGTTCCTTTTGCTATTTATCTTTTCTGCTTATTTAGTTTTCAGCCCCTCAGGTAGCTAATCTGATCTGCCTCCTGGTCACAAGCTCTACTGCCAGCACAAAGGAGGAAGTGGGAGTATTTGAGTAGAAGAAGGGCAAGATGGCAGTCTTAGGTTGATCCTTCATGAAGCCTTACTTTGACACCTCTGTTTTCTCACTTAGTGAGCAATTTGCATGAGAAAGATTCTGTTAATTTGAAAAATTTTCTAGGTGGTTTGTGTTTATCAGTTATAGAAGTGTTTGAAAAATGCTGCATTTGGAGAAAATCACAGAACATTTACTGACAAGGCAAAAAAAATCATGTTTCAAAACATTTCAAAGTTTGTTCCTTTGTTCTTTTCATTTTACCCTAATTCACTCAGAAAGACAGTATGGCAAGAAAAAAAAGGTAATGAACCACAAAAAGTAGTTTACTTCTATTGAATTTGAAGATCAGACTACTTTAGATTATGTATGTATGCAGAAACTGATGATATTAGTAAGAAAAGAGCTAATTTTGTAGTAGATTAATCATGCCAGATAGTAAGGTATTTACATTCGTTTCTAGGTTAGATGTGAATAGTTTAGTGTTATCTCTAGAGACCCTGCATTACTATAATTTCACTGTTTTGACTCTTTAATCAAGTCAGCAACAATAAAATGCTTAGGTTCTTTCTACTGATTTGCTATAGTGTCCTGTAGACAGGTTGAATTTCCGGGCAGAACTGTCATCTCAGGAAGCAGCTGAAAGGAATTGCATTCTCACAAAATGGGCTTAGTGGAGGGCATGTTTTCTACAGTACTGCTCCAGGTAAGTGAGATTGCACAAATTTAGCTGCCTTCTCTTGCTGCCTATTCTGATCAATTCAATTGTACATCTCGCAGGGAAGGCCTTGAGAGCACAAAACAACACATTCACCTTTCTGCTCTTTGTTAGGCTTGTGGTGGGGGCACCTTCAGATCTAACTTGTTACCTGCAATTCTGACCAAATGCTGTTAACCTCCACAGCTGCAGAGGTGAGGACACTTCCTTTGGAAATACTTGGGAGAGTCAGCTGAACAGCTGGGAAAGAGCTGGCTTTACAAGCTTGATGGCACGCTGGGACACTGGCAGCCAGAACACAGGTTTGTGGTGCTGTGGCTAAGCTGAGATGTGGTGGGGCTTTCAGCAGTTCCTGTGTCAGAGGTTATGGGGCTCATCGTTCATTAAATTGCAGCAGTCCCAGTTAGTTTGCATGTACACTTTCAAATGCTGTGTGGCTGCACCTCAAGTAGCCAAGGAGTAATGAGAACCCTGAGAACTGCTAATCTTGGCAGCTGATGCCTGCATACCTCGCTTGAGAAAGTCCTCTGGGAGCTGTAATTCTCTCAGGCTCTCAGCAGTAATCTGTTTAGAGCTGCTGAAGAAGATCTTGAACACTGGGCAGAACACAATTTGCTCAGAGTGTATTTCAATACTCACGGTAAGAATCAAACACATCACAAACACTTTTTGGTTCGAAATTTACTAAAAGAACTCAAAAAGGTCTTATTAGACATATAACATGAAAACAACATGATTTGATAAGTTGTGCCTCTGAGCTTCTTGTATGTGCATACAAAAGTACTAAAACCCTGCAGCTTTTGACTCTCCAGTCAGCCAAATAGATTACCATTTCTAGAGAAGAAAGGTTGCCTTTGACAGAAGGCAATTTTCCTAGAAAATTGTCCTTTTCTTCTAAGAGCCTTTCTGTACATCATAACTTTGTTTCATGGATAGCTTCATTCTCTAAAGAATTTCAAAGTCCTTCTCCTGCTTTCCTAGCATGGTCAAGTCACTTCTCTGGGTCTATAAGTCCACAGCAGCTCTCCAGGAACCATTTTTTAAAAGACAAAATCTCAGGTGACATCTCATTATTTTTGTAGGGCCCCAAAGGTGGCATAAGGGGCTGCAGAAGTTCCTGTATGGTCTGTCAAAGATAACATAAGCCTAGATTTGCTTGAATATTATTTTAAGTTAAAACTAAAATTGATCATGTTTCCTGGGTTGGTTCTGGAAATTATTTTTCTTACAGCTATTTTTATATTGTTTTGCATTTCATCTTGATATTAGCCTTTACTGAAATACTTCAACACATGTTCTTGGGTTTATTTCTGGCTCTGGTGTCACATCTTTCTTACAGGATTAAACACAAGTTCCTAATGGTAGGGAGCTATCAATTCGTTTTCTTGAGCTCCTAAAGTTTCCTCTATGGCTTTAAATTATTATTACATTTCCTGAGAATATTCTCGGTGTCCAGCTACTGTGTCTGTTGTGTCTCTTATCACTTGTCCAAAGTGCATAACTCTGGCTGGACATAAGAAGGGAGAATATAGGAGAAGGCAGGATTTCCTTTTCTATTGGCACAGGCATGGCAGAAAATACCAGAAATTTGGACATAGAGTTTAAATTGGAAATCCCTACTCAGTATATGACCCCTCTGTAAAAAAATCTGTCACCCACTGCCTAGAAAGAAATTATCTGTAAATCAAAATAAGGATTTGATCACAGTTGTGTTGAAAATGTTTGAGATGTAAAGGCAGACATTGGTAGACTCCCAGATTCCCAACATTACAGTCCAGTAGCACAAGCAAGGAGATTTGGACAGGATGCTGTGTTCATGGGAACATTTGTAAAGCTGCAATTTTCAAAAATAGTAGTTATCTGCTTTGGTTAATACAGGTGAGTGTATATTGTGAAACTAAGCAGGCTAATCAACAGTATCTTCTCTGTACCTTAATTTCTTCAAAGGAGCAACATATAAGTACTTGCTACAGTCAAAATTCCAAATTCAAATTTGGGATATGTGCTAGAATGATACATTCCCATTTTTAAATAAGGCTGGGAATTTTATATTGCATATGACAGAAGGGATTCCTTTTCTGTAATGGTGTAGAACTGGTATTACATGAAATTAATACAGATACTATTCCTTAATCATTCTGAATTAAAGTGATGGAGGGAGGAAGATAGCCCAAAGCCATAGCAGGATGTTTGAATTACTTAAGTTGATCCAAGAAGCAAATTATATTAGCACTTTGTATTGAAAATAATCACAACAGAACTATATGAGATCTCAGTACTAGTTTTTGCATAGCTATATGGCATTCTGAACCAAATCCAAGTCTGCAGCAGGGGAAAGAAAAGTTGAAGTGCTGACAAGGCAGGAAATACCCAGTATTAAGGAAAAGATCTGTGTCCAACTGAAACAGTCTGTTAACTCATATGATATAGATTGTGAAATGCCAAGAGAAAATCTGGTCCCCTCACAGTTTAGAAAATGGACTAAATAAGAGCAGCTGTGTGGGTAAATAATTATCCCATACTTTGGCATTAAAATGTTGGCTGATTTTTACCAGTTTTTGACAATGGAAGTCTTTCAGATGTAAGTCCCAGGAAATAACAGCCAAAGGATATTATCTGTCACTTTGTTAAACCAATAGTGGAGTTAGTAATTTCTGGAATTCAACAGAACCCTTCTTTTGTTGGGCTGTTGTTTTGTGACTCTCCCAGTTTACCTTACCCCATGTGACTGTTGCACTACAATGTCTCTCTTGCCCAGCTATGACTGAGGCAAGACTTAATAAAGAAAAGCCAAGGATAAATACAAAACATGCAAATAAGTATCATTCCATTAATTCATTCTGGGAAAAAGAGCAGAATCTTGGAAACAGATTTCTCAAGAGAGCAAGAGCAATTTAAAACAGCATGAACTGCATGACATCCACGTTCCAAGGAAAAACCTGTGCTCAGTAAAATCTCAAGACAGACCCACAGGAAATCACAAGCTGCCTATCTTATTTCATAGCTAGATGCTGTTCTGCGAGGTTTTAATTGCAGAGGTGCTGTGGCAAGAGCTTTAGTATCTAAGTTTAGTGTGAGACATATGGATGAAAGTCAAGCTGTCCTTTAGTTGTCATTGTGATGTAGATAGGTCTTAGGGGTGTCCTTGTGTGCACACTCAGTGCCCCAAACTCATTAAGTCCCCGGGTGCTCCAGAAATTCCTCAGCTAGTCCCTGCACACAAGAGACACACAGCTGAGCAAAGGCAAGGTGACAGACTTGGCTCCTCCTCAGCTCCACAATAAAAGGATCTGGCTAACTATTGCAAGAGTTATTGCACTAATTTTCAGGTGAGGAATTCAGACAGTCCTGAGGGCTCCTCCCTCGCTGCTCCTGCTTGTTTCAAGACAACTTTCTACACCTGAATTTGTCCCATAACCTCCTGGCTGAAGAATCTGGCCCTTTCAGACCCTCCTGGTGGTTCCTGCTGCAGAACTGCTGGGACTGCATGCAGGTAGGATGCATGCAAATTTTAGAAACTGTTCTTGTAAATACAGACATGGTCACACAGGGCAGTCTTTTTGCACATAGTTAATACAGCATGATGATTTAATTTAAAGCACTCTATGACAATGGATAATGCACATGCTGAAGTAGTCACACATGGGATCAGGAGCCAGTTGGCATGAGAGAGAATTGAGCAGAGAAGCAGTTAAGGAAGTCTCCCCTGACCCAGTGACTCCTGCCACTACCCAGACTGCAACCAGCTGGCCTCTTTGGGAAATCTGAGCAATAGCCTATGCCAAGGCCCCAGACACTATTTTTCTTGAAAACCCTTTCCATTTTTTATGCAATACTGCTCAGCCAGAAACCAAATCAGCCCTGATATTGAAAAAATGATGCTTTTAACAATTAGTCTTTGTCAAAATATGTCCAATGCTTTTCAAAATAAATTAGTTGGCCCTGCTAGGAGTGATCAGTTCAGTACATGACATATTAGAAAATTCATTACTCTATCTCTTTTGAAATATTAGCAAGAACTAAATGTTAAGAGCTGTTTATGCACTGCCAGATTTGACTGGTAGTGCATTTTAGTTTGAAATTCAAGTTTGAAGCACTTGGCTTGTCATTTTGGTCATAGTAACATTACAATAAATCTAACAAGAGACTATAATTCAATTTGACTGAAATTCAGTACTATTAACCATTCTGCAGAACAGTGCCCATAAAGCTATTCTCAACTATTCCTTTAAAAAAAAACTTGATGTCAGAAAAACATATAGGTCAGAAAACAAATTTTCGCTGTATGCCTTTTTTGATGAGACTAGTATTTTTATCTCTCAGTATAACCGCAAGATAATTGAGTAATTATGCAGATCCTCTTCTGAAAAGTATGTTTATTCCCTAAACATTGTGTGTAGTCACCTGACTACTGTGCAATGAAAATAAAGGAACATCAGCTGCTACCAGCACCCTTAGCAGAGACACTGAACTGCTCTTGTCTATTCCTCTAGGCTACCTTTTTGCAAGCAAAAACTCACTGTGGGAGCAAATCCTACCTCCATTACAAACCCCACATCAGGTGAGGAGACTGACTTTCTTTAACTGTCCCAGCAGTGTTCAGCTGATCATGTCCGAATTTAATAATACTATTTAACACCCAGTCTCTCGTTTAATCATGGGGTTTGTCTGAAAGCTGAAACTGGGCTGTTGCATTTAGAGCAAACCCACAAAAACCTTGAATAAACCACAATGTTCTGATCTCTGCAAATATCTGCTATCTGTGTATTTGCAGGACCGGAACTAGGTTGTTCTTTATACTTTCCACTTCTAATTATTAGCACCTCTAAGAGATCTGTTTCACCAAAGATTATATATGGAAGATTGTTATTATATGACAGAAGGTGGACCTGGAAGATCTAATTTTCTGTATCTGACCTTGAGAAATAGTCTGAACTCATAGTTGCACATTTTGCACTGTAAAATGGTATTATTAATATTTTTAAGAAGATAGTAGAAACCATTTTATTAAAATCTGAATACATTCTCAAGGAAGACTATATGAAGGTGCATGTCCTTATTCAGCAGATCTGCTCCTTGTAGGTATGTAATCACGTAGTACTTTAAGAAAGTACTAGATCTCACACGAGCCCTCTTGCATAATTTCAACAATGCCCTGAAGCCTTTATAGGAAGCCAACAGACATTTAAGCTGGTCCTGCAACTGAGAAAACAAAAAAAACAAAAGCCCATGGGGTACAATTCTTCCTCTGCTGTGCCAGCACAAGAATTTGGTCCCCTGCTCAGTGAACCCATAGAATAGCCCTGATCTCCCTCAAAAACTAACTTCCAGTTGCATTGGTTCTCGATAGGACTACAGATATGTTTTTGCTGCATGTACCACAGTGTTTTTCAGCTAAAAGAACAAGTATTCAGGGAGAGAGAAGTACAGACTGCTTTTTGTGGGAACACTGATCTAATTACAAACCAAATGGCAACCTGAAGATACATTCCTGGTCCAGCCAGTTACAAACCAAAAAAAGCTTTTTGAACAATGTATTGCTGCAGTAAAAGCCTTTTACCAGAGCCTATGTTGATAAATACAACACAAAAAAACCCCAGTGACATTCTCATCACTTCTGTGACTCATCATCTGAATTATTTACACATACTGCACTCAGGAAAGCTGGGTAAACTCTGCCACAATGATGAAGTAATAATGCCATTAAGGGAATCGACTGAACACACCCAGGTTTTGTAACCCATATATCACCTTTGAGACTGTTAGCACTGGTGATAACGGAAAATAAACAAGCTAAAAAGAGAAGACAAGCTTCTGTCAGCCCAATCTGTTCCTTGTTCAGATACCCAGTGAATGGCTCATTCAGCTGTTCTGTCACAACGGTGCAGCTGGAGCAGAGATGAGGCAAAGGGGCCAGAGGCGAGGCTGAAAATGCATGAGTAGAAACACTGTTCAAAACCCCAGGCAAAATCTACAGAGCTGAAAAAAAAATCTTTATCATTTGAAATATGTATGGAATTACAAAATAATTAAAATGTTTTAAGTTCTGAGATTTCATTTTTGTTTGCAATCTTAAAAAGTCCAACAAGTCAAGTCAGTTCCTTGGTAGATCACTTTTTCTTGTCATCTACATTCCATTTCCTGGCAATTTATGTCTGCTGAGGGAGTGGCTACCTAACGAAGAAGAAATGTGTTACATTATTGTAGGAGTAGTTTCTGTGAGAGAATTACCACAGCCGTTCATAAATTATATTAATGGATTTTTTTTTCTCCCAAAGGCATAATAAAACTAAATCTGAGAAGATGGATGTATCCATACTTCTGAAGAGCTCTCAGCAAATTCTGTTCTCCCCTCCTCTCCCACTTGGCTGCAGTTAAATACTTCCTCTAACATAATTGTATTAAAAGCAACTCAATGAAAAATCCCATATTCTGGAAACTTGGAATTTATGAGAAGTTGCTCTTCACTGAATACATAAAAACATCCAAAAATAAGAAAAAAAATAAAACAGCGAAAAGATTTCCCCTTTGCCTCAAACAGAATTCAGTGCAATCATGTGGAATATAACATAAGCTTTGAAGAAAAAGAAAATTAATAAGAACAGCTCAATGAAGTCATATCAAAGCACTTTAAACTCAGTATCTCGCTTAAAATGGCAGTCAACAACAAAAGCCTGAGACTGTCAGAACAAAGCAATCACATAATGCATCTTCCTCAGCAATTGCACACAACTTCAAGCAGGGACTTTCTGAACCAGAGGTATCTGGATATTTAATAACTGTTAACAGACATATTTATGGAAAAAAGTCAAACTTTTGGCCTAACCTAAACTTTTAATGTCCTTAATATCCAGATTTTTGCAATTTAAGGCACTTTATTTTCTTCTAAGAACTTTTTTTTCCAGTCTTGTACATGACAATTGTGTTCAGTGCCCTCTAGGTCTTCTATTAGAAGAAAGCCCTTCTGTGTTCATTTTTCTGGTGCCTTTCATGACTTGATACATCTCTGGCATATGCCTCCCTAGCTATAGTCTATTGAATTATTACTTGTAAACAGTTCCTTATCTTTGGCAGTCTTTGTTCATCACCTGTGTCTCTCTACTATCCCAAGAACCTGTTCCAAGTGACTTCAAGAAATAGGAAAAAAAGTGTTTCAGAGCATAAATGATGCCTCAAGTTTTAGCTTTTATATTTTTTTAGATTCTATTCTGCTTTAGTGTGTAAGTCTAGGCTTCATATTAGGAGATAGTAAGCTCTCTCCACAGAATAGGTAGACAAACCAATTCCTTCTCTAGCTGGGGACCCAAGGACAGCCAATCCAGATCTCAGGCCCAAGAGCATAAACAATGGCAGACCAAAGAGAGAAGATAAGAAGGATGGGACTTCATGGGCTGGGGCTGTAACTGGACAATTAGTTCCAATATTGTAATGGACCCAAACTTATAAAAGTGTGAGACCTTGTGACCTGTTGTCCATTTTTTTGGCCATTTTGGGTTGTGCTGCCCAAGGTAGATCTATTTGAGACCTCTTACTAAATACCAACTTTACTCTTTATCTCAATCTAGTCTCTGTTCTAGGTCAGCCTTCTTCATTAAGATTTATAGACTTGAACATGTGGTAAAACCTTGTCTACAGATGTCCCTGCTCATTGCAGAGGAGTGGAACTAGCTGGCCTTTAAAGGCTCTTTCCAACCCAAACCATTCAAGGATTCTGCCAGCTGAAGCACACTGAAGTCATAATAATATTGTCCTATATTTAACCTCAGGTAAAAAAAAAAAACTTTGTCTCCATATGGCCTGGATACCCACACTTTGGCTTTATTTTTCTAATATCCCTGAAGACCAAGAAGCAGGGACCTTAGTACTGCTAGCAAAAATCTGAAGATAACATAGATAAAATTAAATGTAAATTACTTTTTAATGCACAGGTTGAAACTTCATTTAAGGTAAGGGCACCTTGCTCAGGTTTGATCTCTTCAATTTTGCATGTTGGCCTAAGCTACTAGAGATACTAGTAGTTATCCTAATTCCCTCAGAATTTTTCCTGGAGCTATTATTCCCTTACCATGTAGGACTTTAGGGAGATTGATATCTGCAGGAAGGTGAATCAGGTGTCTAAAACCAGATAGGATGTCAAGGTCAAACACTGTGAAAAACATTCCTCTTTTTTCTTGTTAAGGCTGAAGTATATTTACAAAAGCCTCTCTAACAGCTCAGATCTGCTGTCCCTATGTCCACAAACCAATTGCAGTACTTTCTATAGCAACAATGGCCTTATAACACAAGAACAATAAAAATGGTCCAAAAAGAAGAAAAGGAGTGTTTGAGAAGGGAGGTCACAAGCAGCTGGAGTCACTACTGACTGAACAATGCCATTCTTGGAAGGAGTGTTTGCTTTCTGCTTGAAGCAGAATCTTTGAGCACTACCAAAACCTACACCAGTACTTCAGCTATCGATTGCCAATTATCAAACTTCCCATTCCTGAACAAGTCACAGAGAAGCGAATGAAGTTCAGCAGGATTGTTTAACTAAAGCAAAGTTGGCTGTCACTGCATGGTAAGTCACTTCATTGGCCATTAAGGACTTGATTTGGTGCCTAACCACAGCTATATAAGGCCACTGAGATGCCCAAAATGTCATGTGTGTCCTTACCCTGCCATCTCAGAAGGTTTGGGGTCTTTCTTTTGTTCCTGTGTTGTATATTACAGACTTATCTGGCTGTTCTGTATATCCCTGACACTTAAAGGGTGCTAAACGCTTCCCAAAGGCCCTGAAAAGTGGGTCACCATGCAAAACCAACAACTCGTTAGTCTTTTAAAATTGAAAGGTCATGGTAAATTTTCAGTTTGCCTCCATGCCTTTATTAATTTCTCTGTCCAGCCCTGGCTTGGGATGCCTCCGTTGGCTCTGGCAGCCTGCTGGGCATCCTCACTAAGGAACGAAAGCAGGAAGCAGGAGGCAGGGCGCAGGATCCTCGCCACCTCCTGCCCTCACAGCAAAAGGGCGGCACATCAAACGAGGAGCGGAGGGGAGAAGGCGCCGTGTGTGCCAGATCTCCCGCAGTGCCTTCCATAAGCGCAAGGCAGAGCCCGGCCTCCCGTCCCGCCCCGGGAGCGAGGGGCGCGGCCCGGCCGTGTCCCGCCGCTCCCTCAGGGCCGCGCCCCGCCCGGCGCTGGCGGCGGCTGCGCGGGCCGGGCCGGGCCGGGCCGGGCCGGGCGGGCTGTGCCGGAGCGTCCGGCCATGGAGGCGGCGCGGCGCTGGCCGCTGTGGCTGCCGGGCCTGGCGCTGCTGTGGGGCCGCGCCGCGGCGGGGCTGGAGCAGATCGGCAGCACGGCTCCGCCGGCGCAGGGTAAGGAGGGGCGGCAGCTGTCCCGCGGGTGCGGCCCGAGCGGGCGGGCCCGGCCGGGCCGAGGGGCTCGGGCTGGCCCCGAGGCCTGCGAGGCTCGGCGGCGCCCGCAGAGCCCCGGGGAGCCCGGGGCGTGCCGCGGTGCTGTCCCCGGCACAGTCCTGTGGCAGGAGGGAGCGGCCGCTCCCGGCCGAGGGACGCGCTGCTGGCGCTGGGGCTGCCCGCCTGCGGGGCCGCGGGGAAACAGTCACAGAACCGCAGGATGGCGCAGGTTGGAAGGGACCACAGCGGCCTCCTGGTCCAACCTCCCTTGCTCAAGCAGGGTTGTCCTAGAGTGCACAGTCGCCAGGGTTTGTTCAGCCCTGGGTGAGGAATGTGTGTTCAACCCTGGCTCGGGAGAAGCTGACGGAGCTGTTCGTCCCTTCCTGTTCTGTGGGAGTAATTTCGCTGCTTTTGGCAGGCAGCTGGTGAAGCTCCGCCTCACATTTAGTTGCCACCAACAGATGTGGCCACAAAGGTGCACCTCAGGTTGGCTGGCATCAAATTTGGGTATCTCAAGTGCATTTTGACACGTATGTCTAGATCCTAGCTAGAGGTGTTTAATTTCCTTTAGGGAAGGGCTTATCCTTGAAAAGGGAGTCTCCAGCTTTTTGAGACAACTAACAAAGCAAATTAGCCTTACTAATTCATATTCAGAAAGCTTGTTTGTTTGGGTGTTTAAAATCTCACATTGGAGAGAGATTTTCATTAGTTTTCCAACTATGAAAGCAGTTGGAAAACTAATGAAGTAGTTTTTTAATAAACGTGGTGGTACTTAATATTGAAAACTCCTTTTGAAAATTTTTGAGTATAAACCTAGAACAATTTCTGAACTTGCTTCTCATGTTGTTTTTTCAGGAATTGGTATATAGGCCTTACACTTAGGCTGTTAATTGGTACCTGTAACAATTTAATTGTTACCAGACGAACTGGTAAGGGGGTTTTCCATATGTGTATATAAATTAAAGATAAATATACTGGTACATAAATTGCATTTAATGTTAATAATTAGTACCAGAAATATGTAATACTTAATTATGAAAAGAAAACATTGAAATATATAGTTGTTTCACAAGCAAGTAACTCTACCTCAAACTGACAACTTGTTGTGACTTATGCTACATTTGGAGATCTTTTCCCCTTGTATTTGTAATGTAGTGAAACAAGAACAACCTTGTTTCATTAACTGGTATAAAAAGCTATCATAGGCACAACAATTATTAGAATAAAAATCCAGGCTCAGAGTTGGAAAGGAGATTCCCCCTCATCTTTCAAATAGTTAATCTGGGTCAGGACTATGGCATGTATGTGGTCCTGTGGCCAACAAATTATGTCTGAGTTATGGATGAAAAAGACTGCTCTTAAGATGATAAACATGGGGTACTTCTAAAGAAAGTAAATGTGAACACCAGTAAGTATGTATTTTTCTTAAATTCAGAGAAAATGCATCGTTTGACTTGTCAAGCTTCTGTTAAAGTTCTTATTGAACTCTTGTGAATTAACATCGTGTCCTGTTTGGAAGTGTTTTTTGTTGTTATTTAAAATAATATTAATTGAAGAGCTTAATCTTTTAAAAACTCTTTTCTCCCAGAAAAAAAGTTAATACCTATGGAAGGGGATAAATCCTAAACAAGGGTCAGCTCTTGTAAAGCTTCCAAAGCTGCACAATTTGGAATGTTCCCTAAATTGAAGTAAGTTCTAGAATTTCAGTAGAGATACCTTCTGTGTTGTCCTTAGAGAAAGCAAAAGAGATAAAGGTAAGCTTGAATTGTTCCCCTATGTCCGAGGTTAAACTTAAATGTTTTTTATCTCTGCTGCAATTCTCCTGGAATGGAATTACTAACATTCCATTACTTCAGTCAAAATTATTGCTTGTATCTAGGATTAAGAAAAAAAAAAAAAGGTTAAATGTTATGATAAATGCCTTATGGAATAAAATAAGTTTATAATCTCTCTATTTTGGTTTTGTTTGTTTTTTTAGCATGTTCAGCATTTTCCCAGAAGTCCTGTGATGAGTGTCTAGCAAATGTTTCGGTAAGATTTTTAACATCTTTTTTGATTGATAAGAATTTCCACTTAATATGAAATCTAATTGTTAGGCTTTCTTTGACTGTTACTTATTTACGTGATAGAATCAACTGATTGATGTGTTGCTTTCTGTCTGTCACACGTGATGCCAGGGTGCTTTCACTTTGCCAGGGTTGCTCCATGGTTTGGTCACTCAGGGTGTTTCTGTGCTTTGTCTGGAGAGGACAGACCGAATCCAGGCTTCCAGTGCCAGTGTGTGCTCAGGGCTTTTTTAGCTCAGCTGAGCAAGCTCATCTTGCTGCTGCCTCAGACTCATCCTCATTTTGTGGGTAGCACTTTGTTAAGTGTCCATCTAATAAACTCAGGCAGTTAAAATGCCTTGCTTTTCTTGTGTTGTGCTAGGAAAAATGGGGAATTAATGCAAATAAACTGGAAGTGCCTTTCTCTAAAGATGCCCCAAGAAGTACCTGTAACTGAGGCAGTTTGCCAGTCCCTCTGCTGACTCTGTGTGCTGAAGACTGCCAGGCTAAGCCACTTTTGGTAGCAAAGTGTATTTCCAATGAGATTGCAATAAGGCAGATGTTTAAATGTTAGAATTTATTTCTCCACTCTTTGCTGAAAACTTCTTTAGCTCTGCAATCAGGATTGTAATAAGCATGCAAAAGTCATTAGTCTGTGCCGAGCAGAAGTGAGGGATTATTTCAGATTCAAACTTCACATGTCACTGGAAACAAACATTTCAGAAGTTTTAAAGTTGCGTGTAAAGTTCCATTACTAGAAAACTTTTTTGCCCAGGAAGATTGAGAAGTATCTGAATTTACCTGATTGTCTTATTCATATTTTGGCTTTAAGGGAAAAATATTAATTGAATTGTATTGATGATTGTGTATTGTCAGATTCTTTTATCATTGAGAATGAGACAACTGAAATATTTTCTTGTACTTCAGCCCCTGCTCCAGCCAGTAGCTGTGTCAGGTATTGCCTTTTGGGTTAGACACATTTTCAGTACTCAGATGCAGGAGTCTCCATCAGAGGGATACAGCTGGCCTTTCTGGGCTCCCAGTTGTCACCAGCAGTGTACAGTCATTTCAGTTAGAAGAGACTTCATGAACCACCTAATCCAGCTTCCTACTCAAAACAGGGTCAGCATTATGTTCTGAGTTTAGCGGCGATTTTTATTATGCCCCCTATTAGTTGTTATTTTTGAATTGTTTATTCTTATTAAATATTTGAACCAAAAAAAGCATATTCACATCTAGCATCCATAATTAAAAGGGCACAGTTTTTGCAAAGTGAATTGTCTTTTCTTAGTTTTTTTTTGTAGATGTGTCCTTATGGGTATGTTTAAATTGTACAGTCTACCAACTACAAAATAGTAATATATTCTTCTTGTATCCACAGTTTTTCAAGAAAGCAGCATCTGCTGCAAATGGTTTCCTTTGTATTTAACGTTTTGTAATCCACTGAGAGCAAGATAACAGGCTTTGTGTAATTGAGGATGTATGATAGAGATGTTCTTGATAGTTAGATAAAGCCTAGTTCCTGTCTGAGCTCTTTTTATAATGAATCCTAAAAAAACATGACCTATCAAAGATTTCTACTGCCATTATTCAAAACTATTTCACTGTTTGAGTTGTGTGGTAAATTACTTCTGAGTAAGTATTTATTTTAACAGATGAAAACCAAAACCCAAGCTTGATGCTTAGAGATTACTTTAGAAGCAGAAATGTTTTGCTGGAATTTTATCTATAATACACATAAAAACTTGAAATTTTAAAAATATCTGGATATGTGAGCATGTGCAATTAAGGTACTCGGAGTGCTTTGCAACTCAGACTGGATGAGGCTGTATCATTCACTACCTTGCAGCAAAAGCTCCTGTACACTTATAAGGATTCTTTAATATTTTCTTTTTGTTGATAAGCAAATGCAAGGCTGAAATAAGATTACAGGTGTATTTTTATTCCTTAAAGATACGAGGTGTTTTAAAATTCTGAACAGTCGGCAGTGTGATTTTGTATTTAGTATTTGTTAATTCCAGTAATTTTGAACCCAAAGCCATTTTACCTTCAAGTATGCAGGGTACCTCAATATGTTCTCAAATATTTTCAGGCTAGTGTTACTTGCAAGTACAAAATGTTCTTATTCATCATTCAGTTTAGGTTTTACTGAGAAATTGCACAAGGACTTCTGTAGGCTTTAGAAGACAAAGCACTTCCATTTCTCCAGTATTGCATTCACATAAGAAATCTGTCTTTGGAGTGGTGTGCTAAATTGTTAACTGTTTTTAAAGATTAATAATTTGGGGTTTTTTTTGGTTCTTTTGCACAGTGCCTTTGGTGTTACACCAACAACACATGCATTGATTACCCTGTAAGAAGTATTTTTCCACCATCTTCATTGTGTTCTCTCTCAAATGCTCGATGGGGAGTTTGCTGGAGTAAGTACTAATTTTACTTTTGCTGTAGAGAATTATTTATGAGTATGATAAAAGTAAGCTTGCTCCTGATAATTTATTTGAGCAAGGAGGCAGTGGTTATGATTTGGAGCCATAGCCCCAGTCAGTGTAGGTATGGTGAGGCAATGGCTTTAAAACATTTTTACTTTCTTTAACATTTCTGAAAGTGTTGGATGATTTGTCTAGATCCACAGTTCTATTATATTCCAGTGGCAGTGAACCAATACCGCAGGAATAGAGTCACACAGAAATTTTTAAATTGCTGTTTTTGCTTAACTGAAATAACAGTGTAATCGTTGGGTACCAAAGGCAATGTAGATAAGGTTTAAAAGGAACATGCATTCTGCCACTGTAGGTTGTAATCACGCATGGTGTAATTGTTCTTCGGTTTCCATTTCCTGTGTGTATGTTTTACTACAAAATACATGACTGAGCATGTGCTGCCGTCAGGGTAAAATATTTGGAGCTGTTTTTGTAATAATGTGTGTACAGATCTAGATTCAGACTAGACTGGAACAGAGAACACCTAAGACATTGTAAAGCTTCTTGTGTGAAGCAAGAGTACAGCTTCAGTCCAGCAGAGCAAAGCTTTCTGTGTGTTTGTGCATGGACACCAGGAGGCTAAAGGACAAAAACAAGTGGGGGTGAACTGTCAGTGACTATGTTGACTGAAGAAAGTTACCATGCTTAACACAGAGAGATTTTGCAGTAGTCTAAATTAGGATAGCAGAAGATTGCTGTTGAAGTGGAGCATGCAAGTTTCTGGACACTACTACTTAATACCTGCTTCAGAGTGACTAGATGAAAAAGTACAGGTGAACTTTATAAATTCTATGTTCATAGAGAAGGGCTTTGTGCTTTGTTTTCTGAGAACAGGCATTTGTGCTTAGACTTTTGTTGGAGTTTTTTAGGGTATGATAAGAATATAATTTCAGTGATAAAACTCACTTTTGAGAAAAATGGGCTTGCAGTGTTGTAGTAAAGACCCTTATTATGAAATGTTTAGCAGACTTTTTTCTGAAAGTGTGGAGGGTTGACTCCTGCCAGTAGCTGAGCACTCACACACCTGCTTGCTTCCTCACTCTCTACCATGGCCCCAGTGGGATGGAGGAAGAAAAAGGAACAAGAGCAGAAGATGTTGATTGAGATAAAGACAGTTTAAAAAGGGAAGGAAAAAATGCAATTTTTTTTTTAGCACCCCCTTCTAGGCAGACTGATGCTCAGCCAGTCCCCGAACAATAAATTCCCATTGGAATTGACTTTCCCCTTGGAAGCCAGAACTGGCCTCCACTTACTTGTCCTTTACCTTAGATATTTTATCTGACCATGACACCGTATCTGGTGGCTAGTTTGGGTCAAGTATTCTCTCATCATCCCCTCTTGACCCCTCTCACTTTCTTGCCTGTGTCCAACCCTGCTCACTGCAGGGAACAGAGGGAAGGGGGTAGGGGGGAGGTGGGAAAATGTTATGGTGCTGTTCAAGCTTGTTCAGCAGCAGCCAAAACATTGATGTGTTTCCAGCATGTTTGAGCCAGAAATCCAAAACACAGCTCAAATGAGCTACTATGAAATAAGTTTACACTCTCACACTGAGTAGAGAAACACATCCTTTTCTACTGATACTAAGGATGGTCTTGACAGTTTACTGCTGCTGTGGAAATGGCTTCTATCTTGTGCACCATTTGAGTTTCTAGCTTGATTGTAGCTTAAACACAGAATGAAAACTTCATAATGGAGCACGTTCTCAGCAAAAAGAAGTAAAAGAAGGAAAAAAACCGCAAACCAAAACAACAACAAAAACACCTTCAAACATGCATTTCCTTAATATGTTTTTCACAAATTACAGGCAGCAACATGCAATAGGGTTATATGGTCTTATTGAGACCCCTACAAACACAGCAGGAAAATTAATTAACTTGTGAAGGTGGTGGTGATGGGTTTTTTCCTTTGAGCAAATAAAATTAAGAGATGAATGTTGTTCACTGTTGCTGAAAATGAAGGTGAATAGTGCAGCTTTCAAAGTCAAAAACAAATGGCTGGCTTCCAGTTACAATTTTATATGAATTACATGTGTTGACAGATTATTAACCAGAGTGAACAACAGTGTAATACAAAGTAGTTTGATTGTGTTGGGTGTTTTCATGAATAGTAGGCAGATGAAGTAGGTTCTGTTGCCAGGAATATAGCCTGAAAACTGACAGTCTTTCCCTGCACTTTATTAGGTCCAAAAAAAACCTTTTTTGCTTCAATTAAATAGTATACTTTTGAAAAAATTAAATTTTGTTTAAAAAATCTTTTTTGAAGAAAATTGCTTTACTGGATGAATATGTTTATTTGTAACTTGTAGAGAAGTATCATAATGAAAAATATGCTTTTACTTAATGACTGTTCAGTGATGATTATGCATAATTGCAAAGTTTGAATGTGGTATACTGCATTTTATCTGGGGTAGTGGAACAGAATCATGTTTTGCATATAGGGATGGATAAATGTCTGGGAAGGAAGGGGAGAGTTTTTAGAAAGAGAAATATTACTAATGGAGTCTAACAAGTTGAATATATTCATGTTTTTCAGTAAACTTTGAGGCTTTAATTATTGCTATGGCTGTGGTAGCTGGGCTCATTCTGGTGTCCATAACAGTCTGTTGCTGTTACTGCTGTTACTGCAGAAGGCCTTCCAGGAGGTAAACACATGTATTTGTTTTCTTTACTAACACTGGGTCCTGGTCTTCTTCCCTATCTACCTACAATTTTTACTCTCCAGTATTCTAAGAATATTTTCATTTGGAAGCAGTTTTGGTCACTTTGCTTTATTTGTTTGAGGAAGACAAGAAGATAAGAGATATTTAGTGACAAGTAGTATGACACTGGAAATAATGAATGGAATGACACTGAAGTGATTTTTCTAGTGGTAACAGCACTGATTTGCCTGACTTCAGGCAAGCTGTTGCTTTATACTTCTTTGTTTTACCCTTTCTTATTAACATTGGACATGAAATCTTTAAATGACCAAATAAATCCTTGCTTCTTCTGAAAATGGTGTAAATAATTTATTTCAAGGCAAGCTCATGGTACAGCCAAGAGGGACCAGGTGAGTAGAAAGTAACTGAGCAACAATGTCCTATATGACACTTGGTATCCATCTTTCAGAATTGCTCTAGGATCTGTCAGCAGTCAGTATATAAGGGATTAACTTTCTTTGCCGATTCAGAAAGACAATCTATGTGTAAGATAATACTTCTTTGCTCTGAGATGCTAAGAATAATTTACTTATTTGCAAGGAAAATAGTACTGCAAAAATTAAATGTTCTTGGGATCTTGAAGAACTTGTAATATTTTTTTTTTAACTGGCTTCTCTGAGTAACTGATATTCATAAAAGGAGGGAAGTAGTTGATGAGCAGCTAAAATAGGTGCGTCAATACTGGTGTGTGAAGTGGGACAGCACAACATACTTCCCTTTATCACTCAAGTTTTATAAGCTTTCTGGACAGTGTAGTTTCAGCTATCTCTGTTCTTTTTTTCTTTCAAAGCTTTCTGTACAAATAAAATGGGGGCTTTATTTATTGGTCTGAAATGATTTCTATACTTTTTTAAATACCTTTGACTCATTGTTCCTGTTTGAGGTTTGGTTTTGAGTTTTTTAAAAGAGCTTATGTAACTGTACATTGTTTAGTGCTGACCTTAAAGCCAGAGAAATACAGTAAATCTGTGGCTTTTAAAGAAATATGAAAATATTGTAAATAACATCTCATTCCTTTCTTTCTTCCCTGAGAAAGAAGCAGGTATCTGTTCTGTTGGTACGCTGGTATTCCAAATCTGTCCTAGTGCAAAAATGAATACTCTTTAGCCCTGTGCTGATAAGCCCTGAAGATGTGAAGAACAGGTTTAGATCTTACATAAGATCTGCCAGTATCTTCTGCAGAACAACTTAGTAGGTCCCTGTAGCTGACATGTCAGCAAATAAAGCTTGAATCCTGTGAAAATAGATATTTGTGCTACACTTCAGTTTTGGTAGCTAAGTTGTCAATCAGTACTGTAACATCTAATTCTAAAAATAGAGGATTAGTTGAGAATCATCTTATGCCAAGACTCCAAAGGTGTCAAGCTTAATCTTGTGACCCTTAGAGGATTTAAAGGTCTTGTCAATCTGGTGTCCAGCTTGTTTCAGGAGGAATCAGAATGTGTTATTACACTGAAGCCTGGTACATTATTGGCTTTAAGCCCGCTGATTCTCAGCAGGAATTCTTTTGCTCTTGTCTTCCTTATTTCTGGGGACTCATTTTCCATAAAATAATTTTTTTTTTTTTTTGTGGATAGGAGGAAGGAAAGGTTGTGGAAATGTAATACTAGATCTGTGTAACTGGTTCTATTTTAAGGTTATCATCTGAACTCTGAGTTGTAACTTTGTTTTCTTTGTTTTGCAGAAGTATCAGTGTTTCTTTAGGAAATTCTTAAGCTGTGGTGTTTAAGTGTTTGAGAAGCCTGAACTTACCTTTTGCTTGAACACAGAGCATACTTAAGTTCATTAACCCCCATATCAGTAATGTAGTTACTACAGTAACTATAGGATAGGATAGGATAGTATCTATCCTATCACAGGAATTCTAGGAATATTGGTACATAGTGTTTATTTTTATCCTCTGTTTCTGGACTTCTTAGAGTCTGGTTCCTTGTGACAGTTTCATGAACAGCTATTATTCATGAAACTCTACTAAATAGACTCTTGTGAACTTCTGTTATCAATCACTTCTTATACAAATAAAACCATGTTTTCAACCATGTTTTTATTTGTATAATCTCAAACTTTCTGAATTTGGAAGGACAATTCCAAGTATCCAGAAATCAGAAAATACTTAATGATGTTTAATTACAGGGAAGAAATTTATTTTCTGAATCATGCACCAATATTTTATTTATTTGATGTTTTCATATTTTGCAACACAAATTGTGAAGATTATTGTATAGTTCTAAGACATGGTCTCTCCAGTAAAGCAGTTTTACAGAAGAGTGCCCAAGAATGTGAGCTTCTAGTCATGCTGGACATGCTGATGTGGATAATTGATTAGATTTCCAAAAGGGTAACATTGTTTTTAAATTAAAGTGACCTTGTTATGTTTGTTTCCTACTCCCCTAATATTTTATAATTCTTTAGGTGGAAAAAGCTGGAACTAAGAACTTTGTTTCTGAAACATTACATGGGTTCTTAAGTACTGGCTTGTATTGAAATAACTAAAGTGTTGAGAGATAGATGGACCATTTGAGCACATGAAGGAATCGAGTTCATATTTCCAGAGCTGAATGTGTCTGAATTTTGTGTATTAAAGCATTTGACATACTGTAATTAACCACTGGATGTCACTCTTGCTTAACTTAGATGTTGGTGGCTGCAGATGAGTGGTAATGCTGCTCAGGTGTATTAATATTGTAAATACTCATCTCAGACATCTTCAGAACAGTATTCACTTTTGGAAGATGATTAGCACCTGGGCAAGCATGGCAGTTGTCCATTTACTAATCCTGAAGAATCATCATAAATTATTTGACATTTGCTTTAGAGTCCTACAAGTCTTTTACAGTCTGTTTAATGGTTAAGTGAAACTAAGCTTTCTTCAAGGCAGGACACAAAGCTAAAGGGCAGCAGATAATTCAGTAGAGCATATCTGCACATGCGCAGCTCAGATGTATTGTGTAGGTTCAGCATTTCCCAGAATCACACAGCTGATGCTCAGGTAAATCCTTGCTCATTCCAGAATTGACTCATTTCCAGGGGGCAGCTTGAGATTGGATAGTAATGGTTGTTGGAAAGATAAATTGTTCTGGCATCAAAGGCTTATGAACCACCAGTCTTCTTCTAAAGGACAACAATGGACTTAACTGTGTACATGCAGAACACTTGACTCTTAAATGGGGTGTGACACATGGGGAAAAGGGCAGTTGGAATCCTGCTTCAGGAACAGTCTGCATCCTCTTCCTATGAAGCTGTAAATAGTTCTGTGGAGGCTGAAGGGCATATTACTGCAATGAGTAGAGCATTAGAATATTATAAAATGTGAAACGATAATTACACAAACTTGTAAATTATACTTACTCAGCTGTGAAGTTTTACATGGCTATGAAGTAGTAAATAGTGATAGCTTAGCAATAAAGTTGCTTTTTCCTCCTCTTATGCTTTCCTTCCCTCATTTTTCTAGCAGACTACTAGAGGAAGAAGAGGAGCAGCTAGCTAGGAAGAGAGAGGAACGAAGGCTGCAGTCTCTTCAGAGGTAGGTCTTGACAGCTTGATATATAGCTATACACTTCCTGATGATGTAGGAGTATTCTGCCTTTCTGAGAAATACATGGAGTACTAAACAAAGAGGCATTGTGATGTTAGGCATGACAGTTTCAGGTTTTTTACAAAACAGAGCTTTATTATGAGATTGATGAACCTGATTAGGAGCTGTATTGCTGGAAATGAACAGAGAGCAAACAAGTTGATGCTCAGTGTGGCAGGTACCATGAGTGCTTTGTGCATCATTGTGAGGTAATGACAAACATTATCCAAGAAGAGAACAGATGCAAATTTGCTTTCATAAACATCTGAATTTGTGAGCTGAAAGTGTCAGACTTGAATGTGCATGGAAGGGTAAGAAATAGGTGTTCAATTCAGGAAGTATGCTCACACAATTTGTCAGATAAGTTATGTTGAATATTTGCAATGGATCAGTAAAAAGGGGAATTCTCTATTTGTTAATTCAGTTATAACTAGTCACAGCACAGTAGGCTGAGTGCTACTATGAACATGATGTTTCTGCTATAATGCTTTTGTTTTTTTCAAAAGAGGAGGGACCCAGTGAGGAATATCAGCATTTTTTTTATATGCCAAAACCATGTGACTTGTGGTGAAATGTACATCCTTAATTATGTTGCTTTGTTCAGTTAAGACAGCACTTAGCTGTGTTTGTTATAAAGCAAAGATTTCTGACTACATGCATAATGGGATGATTGTGTTCTGTAACCTTTCCACTGTGATTTGTGTATCAGCTTTAAATTCTCAGTACAGTTAATCTGTAGGAAGTCTGATGCTTCTGGAATGTAATGTGTGATGTGCACACACGCAAAGCAAGTGGTGTTGCACCAGGCAATTAGCAACTTAGAGCTAATATCAGCTCCATTCTTGAATTTAGCCTAGGAACAAAGATCACTGGGAGCAGGCTGCTCTGCCAGAATGATTCCTGCAGCCTTATTTAGAGCAGCATTTCTCTTTCCCAGCTTGTCTCAGGAGTGTCTGTGAAACAGAAACTGCCTTAATTGCAGGCGAGAGCTTAGCGGCAGCCCTGGGGTGTTTCCATGTTCTGAACACGCATACCAATTGTGTGTGTGGCTGGGGGTCATGGGAAAACACAAGGAGTAAGCCACTTCCAGCACCTGGGGCACCTTACCCTATCCACTGCTTACTTCCTCCAAGACCTTTGGAGAATGAATTGCTACTAGCAGGCTGTGGAACAAATTAATATTCTCAACAGCCCATTTTTGCCAAGCAACCTGCAGAGGAAAACACTGTCTTGTACTGTGTAGTCCTTCCTTTCTACTGTGAAGTTTTCACATAGTTAATGAAAATTGCTGAATAAATATGGGAGAAAAATAGGCACAGCATTGACCTTCTGTCTGTCTGGTTTTGTTTTTTTCTTGTCATCTTACATGTTGTTTGTTTTTTCTGTGGGATACAGCTACTTCAAATACAGCTTATATCAGCTCATATGTGATTCATACCAGTTGGCAATGGAAGGTGAACAGACTAGCCTGAGCTTCCTTTTATGATTACTTAGTGAATGGTAAAAACATAGCAAGGAAGCTCAAGTTCCATAGTGATCCATGGAGATATTTTCTGTGGAAGGTTTAAGATGATTGCAGCCCCTAGTATTTTCTGTCTTTCAGGTACACTGTAAAAGTCTGCTTTTTAAGTTTAATACTTGTTTGCATTAGAATTCAGTTAATTATGGATACTTTAGTGTCTCTTTGGAAGATGCCTGTTAAAATGAAAAGAAGGGTTATTATGTTGACTCTCTGCTTATCTACACAAGGCTGAAAGTAGCTGTCAGTTTATTGAGAGGGTTGAAAATCACTGGTGATATTTTGAGTTTGCATTTATAGTGAGGGGCATAAAGAGAAGGATGTCTGATGTTCAATTTTTGACTTAAAACAGGTATCTTATTGCAAAAGTTTTAGCCCTTTATTTGACTTCATCATCTCTAACATGAAAAATTATTTTTCAGTATGGCATTGAGTAGTGTCTTTTTGTATACACTTGATTCTTTACAGTTTCAAATACATGGTATATGTATAGGTTAGATTTATATAGTTTATAAATCATTATTTATTTTAGAAGTTTAAAGACAAATGCTAAGCAATAAGATCTAGTGTCAAGTATAAATTGATAGTAAGGGAGAACAAGGAGAAAGGCCAGGGAAAGAAAGGATGGCAGTTTGTGAAGAACTGAGTATGGAAGATTATAATGGGAATTGTTAGTATTGAGAAAAATACTTCCTCACCTTATGGCAGTGGGGACAACTTGCATGAGAAGCCAAGACTTTAGCATGTATAAGATGGAGTAATAGCAGTAGTGTTAAGAAACAGAACCAACTCAGAAGACTGAAGTGACTTGAGCTGATTATCATGTGAGACGTGGGTGGTACAGTAATTCTGAGTGGCAGATTCAGGGACTGCCTGTTCAGAGCTGTGTCTGGTTCTTCTGGGTTGATGTGTACCTAAGCCTTATTTACTGAGCAAGGATTTAGTCATGGGTGAAGTGATGCCGTTGTGGCTGCCTGTCAGAGTTTGAATGTTTCACTGGTATTAATGGTTTTACCCTTCAATCTTAATTAGCTGTTTGGTGGTTTGTTTTGAATAGCCTAGGGAAGTATCCTAAAGCCTTTCTGAGGTTTAAAGCCTACACAGCTTGATTTTTGCACCATCCCCTTCTTAAGCAGGTGATTTCTGAATTCAGAACTGATTCACACTGGCTGCTGAAATACTGAGGTTTCAATAACTGAAACCTGCAGCAACGAGTCTTCATTACTTCAGAAAGGATATGCAAAACAAGGAAGAAATGCCATTAGTACCACCAGTAATAAACCTGGTTTAAACTCACATGAAAACTATACAGTAGAAGGATTTTGCTTTATATTGGAGAAGGCTGCTTTAAGCAGAATCTCTCTATTCTCTTCCCGAGATCCCTTGCCCCGTATATCTTCCTTTTATGTACCACAGAAAGTAGAAATCCTGTTGTCAGGTTACCTTCAGTGGATAAATTTGTCTCCTCTTTTCTCTGTTCTCTTCAATGTCTCAATCCCGACTTTCTTCTTCTACATGAATTTCATTACCCTGATTCTCCAGCTTCTGTTACTGCATTTTGGCCAGGTTGCTTTATTTACTGTTCTGCCTGGGCCTAATAATGCAGAGAGATGTAAGGGACGTGGGTATCTCTGGGAAAGAGTAGTGGAAGGTTTTGAGTCTGTCTTGTTTGGTTTTTCTCATTGTGCTTTATCTACATGCTTTTCCAGAAGTGTAATTGCTGGAAAAGGCCACTCCAACCCTCAGCTCTCTAGGAAGCAGGATAATTGGTTCTGAGGACACACAGGATCTGATTAGCAGTAGGAATTGTTTGGAGGTGGAATATGCATAGGGAAGATGGGATCTTTGGTGAATTAAGCTGTCAGTGCTTAACAGCTTTCTGCTGAATACGTGCAAATTGGAATCCAGCAGAAGTCGCAACTTGTCTAACTGGGTTAAATTTTGACAGAGGGTAGCAAAAAGTGTCTTTTTAATTTTTTTTTTTTTTTTTAATTTTTGTTAGAGAAACTTCTTTTTGCAAAATTCTTTGTCTTTTCCTCAAGGTATATAGATTCTGGCTCATACTGATGAAGCAGTTGTATAGGAGCTTTTATGTTTCTTTTTTAAAATAAGCAAAATAGATCCTTCCTTTGTAATATAGGAAAACTATCTGAGAAAATATGGATTTTTTTCCATTTAAACATCTTTCATTTTTTCCCCCTTCACCTTTGCAAAAGGGAAGGAGAAATCAACTCATCAGACAGTTGGTTTATGTGAATAATTTCAGTTTGGCAGTACTAGGTACAGCTTTAAAAATGATCTTATGGTCAGACAACATAAAAACCAATTTATATTTAGCACAATATTTTAATTTATTCTCTGCATGGTTGCCATGCTGGATTTTAGAAAGCAGTAGTTTTCACTTACACTTGCTGTGCATCTTAAGCAAAATAGTAATACACCTTTTTATCCTTTTAGAATTATTATATTGAATTAGTATTCCAGAGTATGTTCTGTGCAAAGCTAAATTTTACAATTGTGCTCCCTGCTGGAAAGCATTAAGGAGTGCTCCTGTGTAGTGTAGTTCCTTGTTTCTTATGTACAGATGAACACCTCAGTCTGTGAATGTGTGCATGTGTGGATATAGTTATTTTATATAGAAAAGTATTTCTTATTATTGTAATACATCTTATGTTTGCACTATCAATTAGTAAGAATTTATGGTACGTCTTCCAGGTACAATGTGTAATACATAGTCTGTACATACAGATGAAGTGTAAATAGAAAGATAACATATATATATATATATATAACTACTAAGTGTAATTTTTTTTTTTTAATTGTAATGTAATTACTAATACTAATGTAAAAATGCTAATGTCCTTTTTGGCTATAATTATATTTGCTTACAGCTCAAAAGAGTCGAAATGTTTTTCTGATGTCTTTATTTCTTGTAGGAAACATGAAAGAAAACTGAAGCATGATGAAATACGTAAGAAATATGGTATGTGCCATCTTGTTTTGATATTATGCCTAAGTTGATTCCTTTTCCCTAATGATTGTTAAAATTCACAGCAGAAATAAGCTGCTTTATGAGCATCAGAAGTAGCCAAGCCCAGTATTCTGCTGATGTTTGTCGTCTGACACCTGATCTCAGCACGCTTATGCTCCTGTTCTCTTCCTACACTGACTGGCCAACTGGGCAAGAAGAACAGTGTGCTTGGGATGGGCACTTAAATATATTGATTAAAATAAGTGGTTTATTCTGTCTGTTCCTAAGTAAGAAGACTGAGTTTCGGGGTTTTTTTTGTTTCCAAATGTGATAAATCAACCTACTTGAACTTTGCTACTGGAGTCAAGGCTATTGAAGGAGGAGAGACTGACTAGTAGATAGTAAGCTTTTTAAATCAAACTAAAAAGGGTGGTGGATGCAACCTAATGTAGGGATAAAATTTATTTTGTTTGTTTTTAAGTGAGCTGTGGTCCAGTTGTAGAAGACTGTCACAAGACTGTAGAACCTGCTGTGTTGTGTAGGAGGCTCTTATTATATAGGCTTGTCAGTACTTGCATTTTTCATTTCATTTGTTCATAGGGTTAATACTATTGTGTATTCAGAGACAGATCTGCTAAAACTGCTGCATTTTTTTATTATGCAAATTGCACTGATGTCAGAGAAGGTGTTTCTAGGGGTCTGAACAGCACTCAAGCTGTTAATTTTCATCCTCTTGTTAAACTGATTGGCAGAGTCTAGGAATGCCTTCATGAATCTGCAGCCTGCCCTTTACCTGATGCAGAAGTGATACAGACAAACTCTGTAGGGAATTGTCTGCAGAGAATTCTGGAGAACGTTTGTAAAAGAATGATCCTTGCAGGAATGGAGGAATACTACACTGTGAAGCTTGAGCTACTGAAAGAAGACTGTTGTAGAAACTGGAAGTATTTTTTGTTAAACATCAGTCAGGGAAGTTGTTCTGTGGTATTTTACAGGATAATTAACCCTGTATTTCAACCACAGTTCAGTTTCAAGAGTTGCTTGAGTGAATGGCAGCAGTAATCCAGATGTTAAAAAGGCAAACAAAATCCAAGCACAACATAAAACAATACAGGCTTTTTGTGATTGTTTCTCCTTAGAAGAGACCTCACAGTCAATCTCAGCAAGTTTGAATTATTGGGAAAGATCAGGTGAAGAGCTTAGGGCAATGGCTATGTCCCCACAATAACTTGCAGCACTCAGTGCAGATGGACCTTTGCATTTCCTGGATGCTCCAAGATGCAGGTCCTGGGTGCTGAATCTCAGTTCCCATATCAGAACCCTGCACTGGAGTTCAGTGATGTGAAAGCTGCATTCAGTTATGTCCTGCTTGTGAAACCAGTTCACTTGTCTCTGCATGGCCCTACATTTTACTGAGGACAGTTGTCTGTTCAGTGCTTAACTTTCAGACCTTTGTGCAGTGCTTTTCTGGATCTTGTTGAAGTACTTGAGTTTCCTGAAATTTAAAACTGTATAATGCAATGACCTTGGATACAGACATCAAATTCATTAAATCAAATATTGTTTGTAGCTATACTGTCCACAGCATAGGAGAGCTAGTGTCATTTTGCCTCCACTATCAATGAGTTAATGAGAAACAAGTTTGTACGTTCATTGTGTTAATGAAAAGTGTTCTTTCTTGTAAGAAATCAGACATACTCACTTCTTCATGCACTTAGGTTTTGCAATTCAGATTACCTGCACAAGATTGCAATTGTACTATAAAACTTAAATTTTATTAGCAAGCTTCTATATAAAGTGTATTGACAGATTTGCTGTATTGCCTAAACAAGGATTAATTTATATTATCAGATATATCAATTTGAGGCCTGAAATTACGTGGTTAATTTTTGTTTTAAAAAAAATTAACTCTCACATAACATAATTAAAGGATGCATGTAACTGAGGAAAAAGTTAAACACAAAATATGTATAAATTTTGAAATTCATAAATATAATTGCTGTTGAATATAAGGGTTGCATTCTGATAATATACAAACAAATGGTGGTGAGAATAATTCTGTGAGACGTGGATTTTCTGTCCACATTTTTTATTATCTAGAAAATACAGATGCTAGCATATGAAACATAATCTAATAAAAATTGCTGCAAATAATTAGGGAGGCACTAGATTATTTTGCACTCTTACACACTGCAGAGAGGATTCCCAGTTAAGTAGGCATGGATGAGTGGCAGAATGACAATGACTTTGTTAACCTGACTGTACATAAAGATGATGATGCCCGAAATTTCAGTATTTGGTTGGCTTTAAGGGAATGCTTTTTCTCATTTCATCCCCAGCTTTCCATACCCCATTTAAATGGTAATTACACATTTATAATGCACTGCAGGTGTCACTCTTGCCACAATCCTTTGGGAGCATTGGAAGCAATAGAGAGCTTTAGCAACCAGGAGTATGCATTTTCAATTGTTTCTTTGTTACACAAGTTGATAGTATTTTTCATTTGCTCACATATATGAATGCAATATGATTACACAAATTATATGTTGTCTCTTAGGAAAAATTTAAAGTAGAATTCAGAGTACTTTGCAGCTTGTGTAGTACACAAAGGAACTACAATTTAATTCCTGCTGCATTTGCTTCTATTGTGTGTTCAGTATAGCATTAGTGAGAAGCTGCTTTATTATTTATTTATTTGAGCATTTTGCCAAGTATTAGTGGAAGGATTTTTTCATTTAATTTTTGCAAAGTGATTATTACTTCATTTCTTTAGTTCTGCAAGGGTTTTGATTAGCTATTTTAATGATACATAATCCTCTCTTGTTTATTTTATATGAGACATTGGTTTTTATATTCAGTAGTTTATGACAGTAACTGTGTCTTCTGTTCAAGGTAGATACTTTGCCTTGACCTTCTTTAGTGTTGTGAATGCAAGGCAGGAGAACCTTGCATTGCCAAACACTGAAAGCTATTTAGTTTGTTAAGAATACAGTTGTTAATATGGAGGGCTAGAAATAAAGAGGAAAAGTTTAGTAAGGGGTGAAGACATGCAGTAAACTGGGTTGTTTTTTTGTTTTGTTTTCAACTACACACAGTCTCTTCTAAGTATTTCACTTGTTAATTCTGTTTTTGGGCAGCATTGGTACTTGATGAGAGTCACATCTCAATGACTGGGGACATGCATAATTAGTATGCAATATAAATGAATATGCTGGAAAGAGGTATTAATTTCTTTTGACCATTGATTTCTCATTTCATTTTTACTAAGATTCTTCATTATTTCCTATAAACTCATGAAAGATACGTGACTATTATACCTTTCAAATTTTTGAGTGTTTCATAGATACTGCGAAGTAGGTCAAATACTAACCTCAAAATGAGGGTAAATGGAAGTAAGAACATTTAAGTGACCTGTGTGCCAATATTCAAGTTCACCAGTGGCACATAATGGACTTGATTGCAAACAAGGCTCCTGAAGATGCAAACATCTGGTTTCTCTGAACCCCTGAGGGTAAATGACAGCTTGGGTGGTGTCTCTCATGTCTGACAGAAACAGTCGAGACACAGCTCCTGTCTGGTTCCAGGCAGTGCGAGAGCTTCAGCTGAGCCAGATGTGCTGCCCCATTAGCATGGGCTGCCAGCTCCTTGGAGTGGCACTGGCAGAGCAGTTGTGGCAGCTGACAGAAGTTTTTTGTCATGCTCCTTTTTTTTGTATGTCTCTCCATATAATTTTTGTCCACTTACTGGAGCCTGATACTTCTTCAGTAAGAGTTGGTGCAAGTGATGAGCTGCTGTCTCACTCCTCTTACTTAATGTTATCTTATGATGTGCTTAAAATGCTGAGGGTAAAATAAATTTAAATGCTGGGTGCAGGCTTGAGAGCAAGGCTGAAAGCAAAGTGTATCAGGTATTGTAACCTCTGATTATCCTTATTTGGAAGGAGGGCTTGCCATTTCTCTTGGAGTCCCTTTCTCCTGGGACATGAATTTCTGAAGTCAGAGCCAATAATATTCACACTGGATTGACCCATCATTCTTAAAGCCTGTTTAGTTTCAGTATTCTGTGATGAAACAGATGAGAGTACTTTAAGTTAGACATACTAATGCCTGATTGGTGGTGATTAGATCTGTTCATTCCTAAACATAATTCAGTAAAATTAAAGCAAGTACTACTGGGTATGGCATATGCAGTGAGGAGTAAAAATGACACATTCACTTGAAATATGAGATTTAGTTTTCTAAAATGGCTTTTAGCTGAGTGCTTTGGGGCAGGAGAAGAGAAAAGCATATTCAGTCTTCAGAATGATGTAGGAAAGGTTTATCAGGACTCTTACACAGTCCTCTGGATAATTTGAAATTGGCATTACTGGATGCAGAAAATCTTTTCCATTGTGTTTCAGCTGTTTAAGCTGTAAAGAACAGAATCTAGTGTTTTACTGTGCTAGTTTCAGACCTATGAAGTATTGAGTATGTGTCCTGAATGAAATATCAAAAAAATATAATAAGCACTTGTCAGACTCTACAGAGAAAAGTCTGCAGGCCATGTTCATTTTGTCAGGGAATATGGTACCACCTCTTGCCACTTCATGGAAAGCTTTTTGAAGTTAGGTGCATTTATTTATAAATGGATCTTAATGAGTGCAGAGAGTTTAAGCAATGGCAATTGTAATAATAGTGGTAATTTCTAGTATTGATGCTGATTTTTGGTAAATGTTGTGGAAATGTGTTTTGTGTTTCAAAGGGGTGAAATACAGGAGTACTGCATTTTTTTTTAAATTGGACTCCTCAGTTGTGTTTCAGGTAACTGATTGTATTAGGAGCTGTATATCCTAACTGCCAAAGTATTAACAAGTCTGGAGGAAGGATGGGGGTGTTGATGAACTGGGAGCAAAAGAAATGTTTCTTCTGTCTTTCGGTTGGGGTTAAATTCATGCAGGAATATTGCCTGAAGGCACTGAAGGTTGAATTGCAGACCAAGGATAAGAGACAATTTTTTATTGTGTATTAGTTTACTTGACCGCTAGAAAAGGCAGAGTGGACATCACAGCTGCTTGTTTAAATGCATGAAAGGTAATACTAAAATCTGAGAAGTAACCACTTTTTAGAAGTTTAAAAAGACAAAAAATTCAAAATCTGAAAATATTGTATAATAATTTCCACAGTTATATCATCTAAGCATATCCTTATTAAACAAATCTTTACATTTGTATTTTATTTACTTTCAAAAACAATTATGGAAATGGATAGTTCCTCTGATACAAGGTACCACACCAGGTAAATAGACTATATGTTATGTTACCTGGCTGAAGCTTTATAAATGTTACTGACTTACTCCTTGGACAAGTAAGGGTCATATATATGAGGGATAGTTTTGATATTAATGTTTTACAGATTGACTACTTGTAATCTTGTTTATTTGAGTTATTATAGGACTTTTCATATTTATTCTTGATTCCAAATATTTACTGTTCCCTATCAGGTAGTTAGTAGCAGTAACTGATACAGTAATCAGCCCTGAGCAATTGTGCTGCTTGACTGGCATCTTAAAATAACCTGGCAGTTCAAATGAAGCTCACCAACTGCACAAGGTAGGCAATAGTGTAGTCTGCCTACAGCACCATTAGGTTTTGACTTCCAGATGAAACAGTGAATATATCAATATTCAGTATCTGTGTGCAGGTACATGTGGAAAGAGGTATGGTGTGAAAAAGACTGAGAGGCCTTCTTACAAGATTTGGCAGTGACTAGAAATATTTTTTTTTTCATTATTGTGAATCTGAACATTTTGAGTTGGAGTTGCTCGACTGCACTTCATACTGTCTCCAGGCCTGGACAAATGAGCTACAGAAGAGTCCTTGTCAGACATCAGTATAAAAATCTTGGCAGAAAAAATAGCAATAGTGTTCTATCCTTTCACAGCATAAGGTCAGCCTCTGGACTCGTACAGAACTCCTTTATTTTAAGTCTTCTGCCTACCCCAGGTTTAAAGTGTGGTTTAAAGTCTCTTTGAAGTAATTTCTGTGTGGAACAGTGATTGCTCAGCTAACCTATACAGAGGATGCTCTGCATATCCAGGCACTCAGCATAATTGGATGGCTTTGCAGGGCTTTCTGTGACAGTATTCTAGTATAAAGTCATTAAGAATCTTTGTGAGGGAAACACTATCTTGGATTAAGTGATGGTGTCATTCTGGTCCCTGGAGGTTTTAGTGCACATAAGAAGTGATCTTCATTTTTTCTTAGAGATTATTGTCCTGTTGCAGAAAAGCTGTAAGTGGCTGAATGTGACAGATGGTAGGGTATAATTGAAGTAGAGCTAAGTCAAAGTAGCAACATCTTACATTTTAAAAGGATGATGATCTTATAGTCACTTGCATTTATAAACTGGCCACTTGAAATCTGTTCTTCTTGAGACATCTCTATACTTATATTTTTGTCAACTTGACTCTCACAAGTGCATTTTTTGGAGTTTACCTCACAGATGAGAAATGTTCTTTCCATAATAATTTTTCATAGGGAAATGTTCTCTCCCTGCTAAATCATGAAATACTTATTCATGATTACTGTGTGAGAAATAAGAGTGCTTAAGAACACTTCCAATTTATTATAATCCTTGACTGCCTGGGTAATGGAGCAACTATTACAAGAATTGCCTTTTGGATTTGTTACATGCAGTACCAATAGCAGTAAAGTGAGTAACTCAGAGTTTTTCTGTAAAAAGAAAATTATAACTGTAGTCCCATTTTGTTTTACAGGTCTTCTCCAGGATTCTGATAACCCCTACAGCAGATTTGAGAATGAATAAAGATGAGAACCTTCCACAAGAGCTGTAACTCCAGAATCCAGGAAGACAGTTTGTGTTCATTAGCCCTTTTGCTCTTTCCCTTCTGTTTATTTCTCTCCAAAGTGTTTTTATCCTGGTTGTAAAACTAGAAGCAGCTAAAGACTTTTTGAAATAACATGTTTCTATCTCCTACGTGTATGGAAATAATTTTCCATAAATGTTTTTCATTGTTGAAATGTTCACTGAAGTTGGTTTGTTTCCTCTTCTTAAAATCTATATTTTATTACTTGATTCAGATGGTTAATAGTCACAATAGTGTGATTTTGAATTCAGTCTTAACTGCTACTTAAAGCAGTTGTTCTCATGTTCCTAAATAGACAGATTTATGTATATATATATAACAAAAAGCAACATGGAAGCACAGCTCCACATAGCAGAAATAGTTGATGAAAAATACATCACGCACATTCTTGTTGGTGGAGGTTTTTTTGCCTGGAAAAGCATCTTCCAAGAGTGTAATGTGTCAGGGTCGACATAGAGGAGCATATTTGTCTTTGAATAATTAAATTCAGTTGTGGGAATATGTGTTAATATGTACTTTGAATACAATTAGCAAAATTGGAGGAAGGTTGATCTTGAAACAAACATAGTTGTATTCCTGTATTTAAGAAACATCAGTCTGTGTGAGCACTTTATTCTCCAAACTTAAAATATCTTGACAAAAAAAAATAAGTTGCCCAGATTCTGCAGCAGCTTAAACATTGCCCAGCTGCTTCCTCCCTCCCTTGGGGGGATGCGGGAGAGAATGGGAACAGCAGAGGGTTGAGATAAAGGCACAGTAAGTGAAGGAAAGGAGGGTAGAGGAACAAATTCTGCAAAGGCAATTGCCACCTTCCAGGAGCAGACCTCTACCTAGCCTCCTCTCCAGTTTTCTTGGTGTGCCTGGAGCAGGGTCAATTTAGGTCAGTTTTGGCCAACTGTGTCCTCTGCCAGCTTCTTGCTCCCCCCTGGCCTAGTTGCTGGAACAAGCAGAGTGGGGGGAAAAAGAAACTTTGATGCTGTGCAAGCAATGCTCAGCAAAAGCCAAAGCTTTTTTGTGTGTGTGTTATCAGCACTCTTTTTGCCACAAATCCAAAGCAAAGCAGCACCATAAGGGCTGCTATGAAGAAAGTTACCTCAGTCCCTGCCAGAGCCAGTACAGTAAGAAGGCAGTATTTTTTTTAACCTTTTATTGTTCTTTTGATATTTACGTAATGTGATTTATTTCCTGTCTTACTTTTAATAGAGGGTTTCCTTGAGCACTTTTAGTAGCTCCAGTATGATGTGACAAGCAAAGAGCTTTTCTATACCCCCAGTCTAATTGTATGGTCCCACTTATTCTGTACACTTTAAATCACTTCCCTTGCTGTTTATTATCTGTTAAACAAATGTACAGTATTGAGGATGTTTGTGTTATTTTTGTCCACATTCCTAAAATAAACTAACATCTTGAATATGATTCTGTTTACTTCTGGTATGGTTGCTCCATACCATTTTAAATTAACTTGGTTTAAAATAAGTTTCTAAGTATGACTTCAGAGAAGGGAAAAAATGCATTTTTGCTGGTTGTCCGTGGCAGGAATTAGATCATGCCTGTGGGTGAGGATGTAAATTACCATTTCTTGCAGTGTCTTAAGAACCTGCCTCTGCTTAGGTTTAGTAAATAACACTTAATACTGGTTTTAGTACAGTGTTCTTTCACTGGTTTTACTTCTTCAAACTGTTTCTCCATATAGTTTCTCAGGAATTTATATAAAAATAGGTTTCCTACTTTCTGAATATGTATTGTAATTAGTGTTAATGAAATCCTGGTCTGTTTTTATTTTTTCCTTTGTTCTTTAACTCACATTTAGCACTTTATTAGTAGTCATTATGTTTCATTTCATGTTTCTTTATCTGTCAGCCATTGTCAAATCTGAAGTATTATTCAAATGCCTGTCTTAAAAGAATGATGGTCTATGATAAGAGTGAGTTGATAGTGTGAAAATGAAACATGCTGATAGTTTTCCCTGGAGATAACTTTTGCAAAAATGATGGTCTGTCTGCTGTCTCACAACCAAGTAGTGACATTCCTGACTTAATAGAAAAGCATTTTTCTTCAGCACCTGCTACAGTGTATGAAGGGCTGTCGTACATTCTATCAAAAAGGGGAAGAGAGACAACCTTTTTTACCATTTCAAAGATGCTAAAGTGGCAGTTGTGGACATGAAAAGGTAATGACTGTTATCAAATTTACCTTATGTTAAGCCTTAACTTCATACAAAATGTTAAACTGGACATCAAATATGGTCTATTTTTGCTTACACATTTTAAACTATTAAGTTAATGAGACTATTGTGGACACCAGCTTTAGAGCATAATAGAAAATGCAGAAACCCTCACAAAATCCCTGGGCTCTTCAGATTATTTAACCTTTCTTTTCTGTGTTCACTGGAGTAAATAATTGGATGGAAAATACCCTTATTTCATTATATTAATTAGCTTCTCTGCTTTTCTGTATGTCACTATTTCTTTCTTTGGCTTACCACAACAAGGATTATTCGCCTTTGTATTTCAATGTAGCCACAAGTAGCTGGGAAAACAGCTGTAGAAAGAGGTATCATTGTGTCTTTGTTGCTCAGGTGTATGAACAAAGGCATTTATCATCCTGGGTGTGAGCTTCTCCTGCACACTTTTTCAATAAAAGAAACAGAAGGTATTCAACATAACAAAATAAAAGTAGGGAAACAGCACAACAGGCCTGAGTTCTGTATCTCTGTTCATGTGATTTTGTGATTTCCCCTTCATTCACAATCTATTCCCTTTCCTCTATTTACACTTTTAGTAGTTATTGCTTGTTAATTTTATTAGTGAAGGTTTTGCTGTGTGAAAAGAAGAGCAGTCTGGAAAGAGGAAAAATTAAAATTTGTGTTTATCTTTCCACAGAATACACCTTCCAGTAAAACTCGGGTGGGACAGGTTTGAGACTGATATTTTTGGGTTTAATTTATATAAGTGAAGAAAATTTTAGAAAATGTAAGCATGTTGTTTTAATTTGTCGTAGTGCAGGAACATTTTTCCCACTTCAGAAATCTTGGATTTGATGATGACTCCACTTAGTTGTTTGTACTATGTCTTTCTTAATTGTTATTTGATTAATGAGTAGATGTACAAAAGTAATTTTGGAAAATGGTCAATTATTTTTTCTTAGGGTATCTTTGTTTCAGTCTCCCATACATTGATTTCACCACGTATCCTTTCAAAGTTTCTTGTTATGCCAAGCAGGTGCATGAGGAGTGGCTCTGGGCTATGTGCCAGTGGCCTGCAACCCTAGGATGCCCCAGCTGAGGTGCTGGACATGCAGTTCTCTAGATTTGAGCCAGTCCAGAGGGAAATGGGGCAGAAACAGCTAGGATGCTTTTCTTGCTGTCTTTCTGAGTGTCAGGGGCCAAACAGGAAGAGAGAGGAAGAAAGACTTTGAGAAGAAATTATGAGGAGAGGGGAAGTCAGTAGTCTGGGGAGACAGTGAAGTTGGCAGCAATTGCATGTGGCTGTTCCTGCAGTGCCTGCCTGAATCTGGGCTTTAGCATCTTTGCTTTTGGGGGTCTAATCAGCCATCTGACTGCCCCTGTGTTTAAATCATGAGCTGGGGTGTTTACATGGGTGGAAGCTTTTCAAGGCTCACATAAGCTCTTGTCTTTCCAAATGCAGCAGGGCCAAGCTTACTGTTGATGGATTTATCCTTTCTGTGGGTGCTAGAACAGCCCCTTGAAGGGCAGAGAGGAAAGAACTTGTCAAAAGTGTGTAGAAAGTGGCATGTCAGGACTGAAGTATAAATGTCTCCAGAGTATTCCTGAAGTTGTGTTTCTGCTTGGTGGCACCTTCACCTAAAACTTAAAAGAAAAGGTCATTATTCTGATACCTTCAAACAACATTGGAAACTTTTATTTATGTTAATGTCTTCACATAGTTTATACTCAATATCTGGCTGAGCAAATACATTTAGTCTTTATTGTGGCATCATTAAGGCTTTGGACTTAGCATGAGAGGATTAAATGTTTAAATGTGTAGAAGTGTACACTGGCTCTCAAGCCCAGAGCTCTATTTTGTCAACTCAATGTTAGCTACCTGGCTAGGCCTTGTCATGTGTGAGTTCAAGCATATTTGTTCTCAACAACACACCTTAGTTATCAAGAAAAACTCTACTTTCTTTTCTGATGCTGAATTCCTACAAAAGGTGTTAAATGTCAGAGATGAGAACAAAATTATTTGTTTCACTTTGACTCCTTATTGCTGTTTAAAGCCATGGTGAAGTGGTAAAGGCTAGGATATGTGCAAGTAGTAAATAAGCCAAACCATCCACAAATGGAGGAGTTGTGAGTTGTGAAGGGAGTCAAAAGGAAAAGAGTAGAAGAACACTACAGCAGTGATCAACAAATGGTGTTCTCCTTTGCACAACTTTGATTAGATTTGCATTTTTGTATTTTATGTCCTGTCATCTTTAAAAGAAATGAGAATATGCAACTACACTGTATTGCTACATCAGAAATTCCTAGGTTGCTTCACTTGCTGCATCAATAATGAGGCTTAATGTTTGTTTATAGGAAGGCTGTCTGAAAAGCACATTTTCTTTTCCCTCTCTTACATAGTTTACAGAGAAAATATTTAGTGGTGTCTTAAGTGAGCTTCCACGAAGTGGGAAGGTTAGAAGGTAAGTCCAGACCTAAAGAAACCTGCAAGTGGATTTCAGCATCTTAACAATTTATCAGTTTTCTGACTGAATGTCCTGACCATCTGTATGTATTATTAATCAAATGGAGTGACTTTTCTCTTGCTGATATAGCAATTGCTTTTAAACAAGAAAAAGTAATAGAGGGCAGAGTTTCTGAGCTGTCACTTTGAGTCAAGTGCTGGCATGGCAGATAAATGGGTGATAGACTAAGCAAAGTCACTTTGAGAACCCTGTAAGCTTGAATCTGTTTGTGTATTAACATGTTGAAGTAAGATGCAGGAAGAAGATAAAGATATTTACAGTTGCTCCAGAGACTTGGCAGTTGTTTGTTATTGTTGGGTTTTTTTTTCCTTTTTCTTTTTAATTTGACCTCCAGTCCAATCTCTGCAAGGAGTTGTCAAGTAGAAGCATGGCAAAAAGGATTAGGAAATGTTTAATTACCCCAAGTTGATGTGGATTTTCATACCAGTGTTTCTGTCACAGCTGCTAAGCTCTATACTTCTCTGACCTGCATCCCAAGGGTAGCCTTTCATATACTCCTAATGGTCATCTGGCTTGAAATAGTATCTGGCACTTGGTGTTCTCAGACCAGCCCTAGTTACTAATTTCCCATGCATCAATTCAGGAATCACACACACATAGCACTCTTGCCCTCAAGGAGAGTACTTTAAGTTCCCATTACTTTGTTTCATTATTTCTTTTTCCTTTTTATGAACATCACAACTCTTGTTACCAGATGACCTAAGTTCTCAGTCCTGACAAAAGAGAGTTTGCAACATTTCAAGGTGGTAATCTCCACTATGACTATTTTGCCTCTTGTACTGCAATACCATAGTTTTCTTTAGTGCTGCTTTCTTCTTCACATATGTTCTTGAAACTCCAACAACCTAGATCACTACAGTGTGAATTCAGATCAGTTACCCTGGACAACTGAGCCTGCTGTGGAAGAGTCAGCATGGCACCTGCAAAGGGAAATCCTGCCTCCCAGACCTCCTGGGTTGTAAGAAGGTGATACTGAGCACACAGGGAAAATCCACTTGACTCCTAATAAATTTTTTTTACCACCACTGAGTAACTTATTTTAAAACAGATGGTTTGTGGGGGAGCTGAAATTGTTGCAACAGACCAATACAGTGCTTTGATGCTTTATTTGAACAGTACATGGCCTTTATTTTTATGATGCTTTGATGCTTTATTTGAACAACAGGACAAAGGCTCAACCTCAGCTCATTCCTGGGACACGGTTGTTGGTATGGCTGTGTTGCTTTCATTTCAGTTGCAAAGCAAGAGGAGGCACATGGGATTTGCATGGCACCATCTTGTCATGGCTGCATTTCTGGGCAAACTGGTGAAGAGATGACTTGTTCAGGCCTCCCCTCAGATGCAATACCACGTGCAGAGTGGACTCCTGACAGTTTGTGGTCTGGAAAAGCATTTCCATTCTTCACTACTCACCAGCAGGGATCAGATACAGTGGATTAGGAGAATCAATTTATTTCTGGTTCTTAGTATTCCTGGTCTCAGTGATATCCCCAAGTTTTCCCTCAAGGGTTACTGTAGATCTGATGGAATTTTTGCAAAGATCCAAATGTCAGCACAACAGTGTCAACCTCCCGAGTGTATCTTGCTGCTGCAAGGGAGCTTCACACCTGCATAGCAAAGAATAAAGACATTTAGAGAGTGTTTTTTTAATAATTTTAAACAGACTGAACATCTATCCTGTGTTGTTAGTCATGACTAGCTGGTTCTCTGAGTAGCTCCTGCTGAAACACAGACTTCATTTCAGTGTTCAGTTCTGTCTTAAAAATGAGGTTGATTCACAGGACTAAAACTGGGTGTAGGTTGATACACGGTGAATTTGAGTCAGTGGGATCAGACAGACTATGACTTCTAAGGGGGAAATACCCAAATTATCCTGAGGTAATCAGGATCCAAGCCCATCTCCAATTCCCCTTTTATCAAAATTGCCATTCTCATCTGTGAAGAAAATAATATGGAAAAAACCCAAATATGTTTCTAATAAGAAACAGATCAACATAGGAATATATTTCCAAGGCAGAACCATCAGCTTTATTATATGGCCCTGTTCTAGGAATATTAGAAGCACCAGCTTCATCAGACTGCAATGTACTTCATATTACCCAGATAAGTGAATATTTTCCCCTGGAGCTTACCAAACATTCATATGGGCCCCTATGTCAGAGAAGAGACTGCATGGGGCTATGAAAGTGAAAAAGGAGAGTTCAAGATTATCCCAATCCTCAATGCTGATGGGTTTGTCCCCTCATCAAACGTAGAATACAATGGTTAGCCAAAGCTGCCCAGGCTGAAGGTACTCCAAAACGGGCAATAAAATGGTTGAATGCAGGAAATCCTCTAGCACAAGGGGATTTGGGCCTCAAAATCAAAATAGTAGTGAGGAATGACACAAACCCATCTTCACAGAGAAATCTGGAGAATCCCTTTTTCCATGGGTTAATCTTCGAGCAGATGCATTCTGTTCAGGGGCTTTGCTCTGGGCTGCAGTGCCACCATGCCTGACATTTGGGTTTTGTCACTCTGTGTAGGTAAAACTGAGACTGTCCTTTTGGCTCATTTCTTTTTACATAACTTGCACTGGTTCAGTCACTCATCCTGTATTTTGATTAGTGGCATGAAACCCCTAATCGCCCAATTAGAATGTGTAATGATACTGTAAAAATCCCTATTAAACTGAGCAGAGGAATATTTTAAAAAGCTTGTAATAGTAGTCACTAGACATGATAGTAGAAGAGGGAGGATAGATACACGAGATTTATTACATTCAGATAACATGGTACTTTCCAAATTGAACTTCAAAGGACTATGCTGAGTTTATTAATGTAATTACTTACGTGAAAAATTATCAGACTATAACGAATAAATTAAAAATGTTATCTACATAGTATGTTATCTGTGTAGTTTTTCAGACTGGAATTAAAAAGAACACAAAGAATTACAGGAATGTAGGCTTTTGTTTTCATATTAACATGGCATTTAAAATGC